GATGATTGTTGTCTTTTACATCTGTGGGGACAATCAGTGCCTGCTTGCAACTTTTTGCCCTAGAATAACCATGTCTATTTTCCATCTTTGGGCCATATGTTTGGTATTTGATGGCCTAGGGCTGGCTGAATCCAGACCTTATTGATGGTCACATCTTACTGGAATGCACCAAAGGTTTCACTCCATGGGATGCTAGTCACACAAGATAACACTTGGTATAGTCATAAATCATTTACCCTCTTTGACAGCATGTAGTGTCTGTCCCTTCACCCCGTGTAGGCAGTTCCCTCCCTGCCCATGATAGTGGTGGCCAACCTCGTGTCCAGCAGCCTGTTCCTGGACTCCCTGCACCTAAGTCCCAATAAACCCTCCTATCTCATATGGCATCTCCAAGTCTTTCCTTCTGTCTCTCATGCCTTTTGCCATTAACTCTTCTGCTTGGATGTGAGATTGGACTTGTCATTCAGCAATATCCTATATTAGGATCAAATTTCTATAATTTAACTAATGTAATATTCAAGGAAAAACCACAGAAACAATTAAGTGTATTAAATTAAACATGTTATAACTTTGTATGGTATCTCAAAGACATAAAAAAATCCCTAAAGTTAGAATTGATAAATATTCTTTACAATTTTTTTAAGTAAGCTCAATCGTTTTACTTTTCTAAATAAATTTGAATATTTAGTTGTTGTTCTTTTCATTGTCCTTACTAACAACAATGATAGGTGGCTGTTTTGAAAATTCAGTGATCATTGTAACATGCATTCATCTGCTGGGCAACACAACACCTGCATATTTAATAAGTTGCAATATAACTATAAACTTTTAAATGGTCAAAGGATATCTTTTTGCAGGGTTTACTGGCTTCATAGATAGTTATCATGAAATAATATCGCCTTCCCACTTCCCTGGATTATATACAAACATCCTAACTCCTCTTCAGACGATGATAAATATTAAGTGCAAAGTAGCAGTATTAGAATGCAGTTTATGTTCTAAAGCAAACCTAATGCAGAAAAGTGCAATCCACAGCTAAAGAAAACATATATGCTTAGGTCAAATTAATCCAGGAGTTTTTCAGGTTTTGTGTCACATGTCCAACATTAGATTTAATGTAATTGACTTCTAAAAAATGAACACAAATGAAGCAACATTAAACAACTATTTAACACACCTTTAATGCAACCCAGGATTGTTCAAGTGCTAATTCTCTCCATCAGAATGCTTTCCTCTAGGTCGTGCTGATAGCCTGATCAAGTTCTCTGTGTTCCCAAGACCCTGACTGGTATGACAGGAGATAGTATGTTCTCATCCGTCTGCCCTGGCTGACAAATATTCTGGTCTCGGGTCCTGACTTTAGGCATTCAGAGCTGTGCAGATTTGCCCTGGGTTCCTTAGGCCCTGCTCATTTGGCCTGGGTCCACGTGCTTCCCCCAAAATACTATGCTTCCAGGTTTCCAACTGCTCCTTTCTTCACCAACAGCTGTATTTCTTATCTATAGAGATTTCTATTTACTTTCTCTATTCCTTTCCTCTCCTCTCCTCTCCTCTCCTCTCCTCTCCTCTCCTCTTCTCTTCTTCTCTTTTCTTCTTTTTGTTTTACTGTTACTATATGTTTGTAATAGCAGGGAACATTTTCAGTTTGTCCTTAATCTGTAACTTAAACTAGAAGTCAATATTCTGATCCCATAATATAACCACATAAAACAGAAGGGTGTGGTATAATGGTCACTCAAAAATGACTAGCAGAAAATGGAGCTTGTTCTCTCTTGCAACCCTTCTATGGGGGTTGTTTTTTTTTTCTTCAACATGTTAAATAAAAAACATATTCATATGGCTCATAAACTAAAAATAGATTTTTCCTGGAAGTCTGGTAATTTGGGCTTTATTTGTTAGAGGCTCTAACAAAGCCTAACTCCATTTTGCAACAAGCCAAGAAGTTCCTTCCATGTTGCCCTCTAACCAGACCTTTCTGAGTTTTAGGAAATTTGCCTGGAGTGCCCCTCTGGAGCTCCCAGATAAAAACATCACATCCTTGAGGCAGTTTCCAAGCACACAGTTTTCTAGGCGACAAGCCATTGATTAACTGTTGATTCTGTAGGTAGCCCCTTCCTGCCTTCTCGAAGTTCCCCTTTAAAACACCCTCACTTCGATCCACACTTTGGAGATGGCCTAGACACTCTACTCCATCATCTTTCCAAGTTTCTGGTTTCCTGACTAAAGCAACCTTCCCTTTTAATCACCACTTGCCTCTGGAATTTCTGGTCATAAGCAGCCTAGTTAAGGTTTGGAACCTGGCTGTGGGCCTGGTAGCATAGTGAACATAGGTGCTTCCTTCTGTGGGTGTCATGGGGCCTGTTGTTAAGGGGACCCTATTGGGTCATTTCCTGGGAAAATTCATGTCAGAATCTTTAGGTAGTTCAAATAACACAGATTAGACTTTTCCAGTCTCCTGCACAGATACTGGGAGCTATTAGAGCAGATGTAGGTAAACATTTATTTAATCCTTTTTGCTTCCACCAGGTAGCATGTTATAATTTGAAACTGTGCTCTCCCAAAATTTATATGTTAAAGCTCAATGTGACTACACTAGGAGGCAGGACCTATAAGGAGGTCATAAAGGTTAAATGAAGTCATAGGGTGAGGCCTTCATCCAATAGGACTCGTGTCCTTATAAGAAGAGAGAGAGACACCAGAGATCTGCTACTCTATGAGTGTGCACAGAGGAAGGTGCATGTGAGGACACAGAAGGCAGCTGTCTACAAGCCAGAAAGAGGCATAACCAGAAACAAGCCCTTGTTTTTGAACTTCTAGTTCCATCAAGTACTATGAGAAAATAAATTTCTATTGTTTAAGCTATGCAGTCTGCAGTATCTTGTAGAATAGGCAGTCAGACACAAGCAGGAGAAAGGAGCCAGCCCATCACCAAGAAAGACTCCTCACTGGCCAACGTTAACTCCCAGTTCCACAGTCAAGGATGCCTAGCTTGTCAGGAGGCCCAGACAATCAAGGACACCTAGATTGTCAAGAGTCCCAGGACCACAGGGGCTTTCCTGATTATAGTGCATATGCAATGTCTCAAGACCTTTTCTGAAAGTAACCCCACCTCATTAAAATAACATCTAAATCTAATTAGCATTGTGGTTTTGGACCCCTTGAGGGCTTTGCTTAGGTACTTACTGGGAAGGTGCCGGCTCACTGAGAAAAAGGTTATGTAACCTAGAGCTGTCAATCAACCTGTTGATCAAATGAAGTAAGACACAGGGCAGGACTTCCTGCCATCTTAAGAAAAAAATAAAAGCCAACCTAACCCTAATAACAGGGCTGCTTCTGGTTTACAGAAAACCCAAGAGTGCTCTTTTAGCTTTCACCCAATAAATTCCTTGCTGCTCTTTTTTGCTATCTGGTCTCTTAACTGAATTCTTTCTGCCAAGGAGAAAAGAATGGGGAAAACACAACATGTTCCGCCAGTAGCATATCTTCCTTTATTCTTACCATTTTATCCTCAGTGCCTGTAAGTCCTGACACAAAGCATAGCTTCAATAATTTTTTTTTAAATGAGATATTCCCCAGCTTTTCCTGATTCTACAATTGCCATAACTCTGGATGTAAGTCCCACTTTTCCCACTCTATTTCCATTTTCCCCGTAGTTCAAGTTGATTTTGTTTTTTGATTACTTGCAAAGATACAACTGATGGGAAACAATAAAGATATTTTATTCTTGCCTATAAGGGAGTGAGATTTGAAAAAGCATTTTGAAAGTTAGGGTTTTCCAAAATCTTCCAAATATTTCCAAATAACACTTCCAATTCTTTAAATATCATTAAACTTTTCTTGTTTGAAACCCTAAATTTCACAAAAGATTTCAGGTGATAATGAATTTTCAAGCCAATAAAAAAAAAACTTTTTTCAAAATGTTAACACAGTTATCTTTTAAAACTATCATGAATATTATGAATATATATATATAACTCAGTTTAGGACACATATAAGAGATGAAAAAACAGCATCGACTATATTATTTTTAACACTCAGAGTAATTTTAAATGAATCACCATGGATTAAATTGAAATGAGCCAAAACATGATTGGTATTTTAGGCCTTTAGGATGTGAAGGTTAGTGTTTATTTTGCAATGTAATGAAATCTTAAAAACTTTATTTAAGTTGATTTTTATGAAATTTGTTTCATTGCAAATGAATATGGTGCATGTGTTTTTCATTGAGGAGTAAATATTAGTCTTAGAATATGCAAGAAAAGAATAATCACTTATATTTTATTTTTGTACCAAATAACCCAGTAATATCACCTATAGCAATAAAGTCTCGATTAAAGGTGTGTTTGCTCTTTACTGTTATGGATTAAAATAGAAAAGCAGGATGATCTTGAATAAGATTTTGAATTTATCTTCAATAATAATAACTAAGTGATAAAAGCTACAATTATTTTGGAAAAAAATTCATTTTGTATTGCACGGACCAAGAGCAGGCCACCCCAAGAATATACCATTGTGATATGCAGATTTTTTTAAAGGCCAAAACTACCAAGGTCCAAAAGACTTCAGGAAGAAATTTTGGCGTTCTACTATTTATTGCCTAAAAAGAATTCAGATAGAAGGCCTGCTCCAGGAAGAGTTATTACTGTAGATAACGATATTGAAATGTAAATAGTACGGTAGACAGGGAGGGATGTGGCTAAGTCTGTTAAAATTCCTGTCTGTGCCACATTGTTTGTGCAGCCCAGAAAATATTTTGTTTACCAAACATTTACTCTTTCATATTCCTGTGAATTGTTTCCCTTTTCCTTTGAAGTCTCAGACCCCTGCTCTCTTCTCCTTGGTTCAGGATGACATATATACCTCATTCTCCCTGTCTTTGGAATCTTTGTCTATAGATTCCCCATACTCCTGTTAATCTGTCTCATGTCAGTTTGATTCCTAAACCAGCTAGAAGAACCTCAAGAGATGGAGGAAATTTCTTCCTCCCCAACAGTACTTACCTACAATGTCATTCATTAGACCTACAATAGTCTCATCTCCTGTAATCCAAGGACGTTTACCTATGTCATGACCATAGGCTCCCCTGAAATAAAAAAGGGACATAAACATTAACTTTTGTTCGTGCCTCTGTGTGTGCATTAGTGATTTTTTAAATACCAGCAGTTGTAACTAGACATTTCTAAATAAGTCTTTCTAATGTCTTAGTAATTTACAAAAGAATGTGGTCTTTTCAAACCAAAAAGGTAATACTTTGTTTTACAACTTGTCATTTAAAAATTTCTGCGAATTTCCTACTTTTTGTGGTGGGGGGAGGGAGGGAGACAGATTACCCATATGCTTTTTCATTATTTTTCTCTATTTTAGAGTCTGAGGTGTTGGTTTTTTTTTTCTCTTTTACTTTGAAAATTTCAACTCCTTGAACCCTCTACTTGTATACCTGTAGCAACAATAGTATCTATACTAAGGCTAGGGATTAAAAGGGTTACAAATTTAATTCTAAAACATAGCTATAATCTGTAAATTAAATAGAAGTACATAAAAAGGTATACACTTAAAAACTTTTGAATTTATACATATACCTATGGTAACATTTTAATGAAATACTGAAACTGGCAATGTAATCAAAGCCAGTACTACATCTTGGTCTGTTTTCTAGCAATTTCTTCTATCATATCGAGACAGGAGGTAGCCGGTAGGGTAGGTAGTACAGGATATGTTGCCCCTGTAGAGGTCAGCCAAGCAGGATACTGGCACTATGCATTGTAGTCAGCTGGTCAAGTGGGACCCTGGTCAAAAAGAAACATCATCTTGAAAGAATGGATACAGAGGGCCAATACATCATGCTTGAACCCAGCAACAAGCCCTGGCCAAACATGTGAACTTCCTCCTTCTAGTGCTTATAACCTCCTAGGCATTGCAGCCCTAGTCTATCCTCCATTGAAGCCCCTCCTGATTAGCAGGATCCCTTTTCTTTTCACTCATCAAAAGCTTTGCTGGTTGTTCCATACTCTTGTCAGCTTCATTTGTTGTCACCTCCAAGACATGATCCTGGGAAAAACAGCCTCTCAGCCAATAACAATCTTTCAGCTCAATTTTATTATTCTAGTAAATATCAGTAGGGAAAATCAAAGTTCCTATGGCCAGGATCCTCATTCAACTCTAATCTACTTGATGATGTAATCAGCCTACTGCATAGGCTATGCTTGCACACCTGCTGACAATAAACCAATACTGCCTGTATTGCTATATAAAGAATTCCACCCAGTTCTTGGGGCAGAACAGAGCCTGGAGCAGAGCACAGGAGAGCAGGAAAGCAGAAGCTAGCAGTGGAAGTGGTACCTGGGACAGAGGCAGAGACAGAAACTTCCTACTTGCAGACCGCAGAGTGCAGATGGGATCCTAATGCTCAACATACCGCCATGAGAATAAAGCTTGGTAAGAGCCCTTTTTACCCCTAATGTTCCGTTGTCATTATCCGGTCTCACTGAATCCAGAGCGAACTTGCCTGGAGCTGAAACCCCCTTCAGCCTGGAGCTACAATATCCCAGTGGGCATAATCGAAAAACCAGAAACACCTAAGAGAACTTCAACCCTCAAGAAGTTTCAGTCACATGAGGAAAGCAAATACTTTTGAAAAACATAGGAAAATACATTAAATATCAAAAGGGGGGTGATTTTGTGTGCTGCTACAAACTTATATTTTAGGAAGCTCTGAATTATACCATTCTTAATTCTTTAGGAATCCCAAAATGATATAAATTTAGAAGAAATAAATGAATATGTGTTTTTTATATAGTGCAAAGGGTGTTTGAATGCATATTCTGAATTCAGTAAGCTGGTCAACCTGCTCTCAGAAGGGAAGGGTAGCAGAATGTGCCACCCCAAAATATGTTTCTGTGGCATTTTGATTACCTTGAGTTATAGGCACTTGAAAAACAGCAAAGGTGGAAAGAGAGCTTCTCTGGACTCCCCTATCTACAAAAAGACAGAGCTTCAAAAGGAACTCTGTTGCCGCAAGTCCTCTCCCTCTCCTTTCATCAACTAGGCAAAACTGACTCTTACCACAGGAGAGAGGGCTAGAAGTGGACACCACACCCAGCTGGACTTCGTCACAAACTATCCTCTCTCCCATCTCTTCTTCTAAGGACCCACTCACATCTCCTAAAAATCATTTACTGTCCCCTTTCCCCCTTCTCCACTTTCCCTATTTAAATGGGATTTATGAAATCTAAGCCACCTCAGGGACTTACTCATTTTTCCCCGGGTACCTCCCATGGATACATGAGGTATATATGTTGGTAAACTTGCATGTTTTTCCCTTGCTAATCTGTCTAGTACAGGGTCTCAGCTAAGAGCTCAGAAAAGTAGGGGGAAATTATTTTTCCTCCCTTAAGAAGCAGTGGGAGAATTGGTGGAGAGGAGCCTTGTTTTTTAGCCTTTGCTGGCTTTCATAGTTTGAATACCTCCGTCATGGCTGATTTCACAGCATCAACAAAAATTCTGAATATTTAATAATTGGCTTTCATCTCCAGTTCTAGGTCACTCCTGGCTATAAGACTACAAATATTAGAAGCTTACAGGGTCTAGTGTTCCACTTTTGCAAAAGTAATGGGTGATGCTATGTACCTGAATGGATTGCTGTGAAAAATAAATAAGATAACATGTAAAAGTGACTGGGACGGAGCACTCCTTTCCTAGGTCTCCTTTCCTAATGTAAATCCACTGCTAAAGCTCCCTTTATCAGCATATAGTGTGCAACACAATTTTTAAACTAATATTTCAATTACCATATAAGCTGAGATGAGGGAAGAGGTCTTTCTTTGAGAATAAACACAGACTAGAAGAACTAAGGAGGAAGAGTAGGCTAATTGTTAGTTATTATTCATATTATTATTTGATAGCCTGCAGCTTGCCTCTTTCCTCACTTACAATCTACATGCTAAAGACAAAAATCATTATCATTAAATAGTAGTTAAAGGCAGATACTTGGATCCTTTTTTATTTTAATCACAGAGAGCTCCATGGCCTTGCTGATAGCGCAATACATCTTATTACATTTAGGTAGTAAAATTCTATGTTCTGCCTCAGAGAATTTATATCTCAGAATATTGTGCCACCTACTTCCTTCTTACTCTGGTAGACAGCATGGTAATAATCTAATCTTTAAGGAACATTTCTTCCTGCAATGCTTTTGGCATCTCTTTTTCTTTTAAATATCATACATAGTCTGCTTCACTTTGTCAGTCTACTAACCTGGGGTAGTGAAATGGATTTAGAAAGTGTTACCCAAATAAAACTCAAAGTAAAGTGGCCTGTCGTTAGAAAGAATTGATGTAGATTGCAGTACAGTTATAAATATACAGAGTAGGGTTTAGAAAGAGATTATATTGTTCTCATTCAAAACTGCCTAAAAATAGTTGTGGCATAGGTGCAGTCTTCCTTGACAAATGCTGGAAATGGAAAGAGAACATGGAGAGACTTAACTCACAACCAGAGCATAAATCATTGCTATGAGTGGAGTGTTCTCTGAGGCATCTACAGAGCAGTATTTGCTCTTGAAATTAGACTTCAGGATATAAAATCTAATTAGGAAGTTAATAGAAATGTGGATCCCCTTTGAAATAGGACAATGCTTTACCCATCGTACAAAATGAAAAATGGCCCTGCATTTAAAAGCTCTTTCCAATAAGTAAACAAATAAGACTTCACAGTCTTTCTTAATGATACCACAACTATATATATATATATATCTATATTTTTCTTTATCTGTGACCCAATTGATGATTAGCCAACACAGATATCACGAAAATCTTTGTTACATGTCATGCCTCATACTTTCTTATTCATTCTGAAGGGTGGCAGAACATGCCACTCTAAAATTTGCTTCTGTATAAGGGTTATTTTGAGCTAAAGGTATGTGAAAAACAGCAAATGCAGGGAGAGGCCACCCCTGAATGCCCTATCTGCCTAAAGACAGGTCTTCCAAAAAGAATGTAATTGCCTTAAATTTCCTCCATGGGCGTTTTATCGCCTTGGGAAGATGACTCTTATCACAAGAGAGGAGACTAGAAGTTGACATCACATCCTGGACTGTGTCTCGCCCCAAGAGCTCTCTCCCTTCTTCCCCTATTAAGACAATATACATAAACTCTCAAACTGCACCGTTTTTGGGAGGGATTCACTTTTATTTTTCCTCTGATGCCCTCATGCATACAATATTAAAAATTAATAAATACAAATACTTTGCCTTTTCTCCTGTTAATTTACCTGTTGTCAGTTGTTTCATAGCCCCAGCTATTGGACCTAGGAGAGTAGAGGAAAAGTCTTTCTTCCACTACAGTACACTTTTTTTTGTTAAAGAAATGCTTCCATTGAAGGAGACTGCCATGTGTACAGGAGCACCTCTCCCATGTGCTTCGCCAGTGCCCTTATTGCACACATTTTGCTGTGTAAGTAAGGCCCTGTTTGCAAACCAGGTGGTTTGTCCCTGATATGTAATTCAGTAGACTATTTTATTCTTTGAATAATGCTCCCTAAAATGCCATAGTTCTTAGAGGAATCCCTATAAAGATTCCCTTTGAAATAGGACAATGCTTTACCCATCGTACAAAATGAAAAATGGCCCTGCATTTAAAAGCTCTTTCCAATAAGTAAACAAATAAGACTTCACAGTCTTTCTTAATGATACCACAACTATATATATATATATATCTATATTTTTCTTTATCTGTGACCCAATTGATGATTAGCCAACACAGATATCACGAAAATCTTTGTTACATGTCATGCCTCATACTTTCTTATTCATTCTGAAGGGTGGCAGAACATGCCACTCTAAAATTTGCTTCTGTATAAGGGTTATTTTGAGCTAAAGGTATGTGAAAAACAGCAAATGCAGGGAGAGGCCACCCCTGAATGCCCTATCTGCCTAAAGACAGGTCTTCCAAAAAGAATGTAATTGCCTTAAATTTCCTCCATGGGCGTTTTATCGCCTTGGGAAGATGACTCTTATCACAAGAGAGGAGACTAGAAGTTGACATCACATCCTGGACTGTGTCTCGCCCCAAGAGCTCTCTCCCTTCTTCCCCTATTAAGACAATATACATAAACTCTCAAACTGCACCGTTTTTGGGAGGGATTCACTTTTATTTTTCCTCTGATGCCCTCATGCATACAATATTAAAAATTAATAAATACAAATACTTTGCCTTTTCTCCTGTTAATTTACCTGTTGTCAGTTGTTTCATAGCCCCAGCTATTGGACCTAGGAGAGTAGAGGAAAAGTCTTTCTTCCACTACAGTACACTTTTTTTTGTTAAAGAAATGCTTCCATTGAAGGAGACTGCCATGTGTACAGGAGCACCTCTCCCATGTGCTTCGCCAGTGCCCTTATTGCACACATTTTGCTGTGTAAGTAAGGCCCTGTTTGCAAACCAGGTGGTTTGTCCCTGATATGTAATTCAGTAGACTATTTTATTCTTTGAATAATGCTCCCTAAAATGCCATAGTTCTTAGAGGAATCCCTATAAAGATCTAACTGTGGCAAATTTGCTCCTATGAGAAAGAAATATTTATCTAGTAGATATGACAATGCAAAAGACCTAAAATATTGTGATTATATCTTAAGGACATAATATATATTTCTCACCTTAGAACGTGCTCTTTAGGACGGGTGTATCTTTCCCTTCTGGCTGAACTTTACCACTTTGATTATGAAGCCATGTAATTTTCCTATAAATACTCTGAGCCATTAGTAAATATATAATATAAAGTTATCTCAAAAAGTTCTTTAAGCTTATTGCCTATACACTCTAGCAGACCCACAGGATCCATGCATACTGATTTAGCTGCTTCTTACCACCATTTTGTTAATTAATTATTATATATAAAATGAGCCAAACCACCCTAAAGATTTTCTATTTCATTATATTGAAATTATCTAAGTATTGTCATTTCCCAGAACAGATATACTCTCCAAAGAAAAGCATTATTAATCTACCTTAGAATCACATGTAATTGAAAATGAAATTAAAAAATAATAAACATTTTTCTTTAAAAATACAGAGATAAGTATTTTATTTTCATAGTTTTATCTTAAATAACTTGAAATTTTGGAAGAACTCATTTGGGTCCAAAAATATTTCTAAGAGTGCCTCTATTTTTAAATTTCCTTTCATATAAGCACTCAAAGATGACACTGATATAAATTATAAGATCAGGCTGCACTGTGACCAGTGTTGGTTTATTTGAGTGATAGGCAGATAGTGGATCTGCAACAGGCCCTACAAGATGAAGACATGGAAAATGACAGCCATGAGAAAATGGTATTTCCTACCTTATAGATCATAGTTGGACAGTCAGAGACTTCATACCAATGTTCTAGAACAGTACCTCACTTAGTCAAGGCACTCTAATTTTTATATTACTGTTAAGATTATAAATTTTTAATGTGATTTTTTCCCCATTAAGCAACTAATTTCAGTGTGCATTAGAGTATTTAGGGACTGTGTAAATCTTTGATTTTTGTCCTTCCTGAAATATCCTACTGGTCAAGAAGAGAGGGAAGCACTGGCCTACCTTGGCTATCAGCTAAGAATAAGGCAGAAGTGAGGTTGGAGGAGGTGAAGAGGAACAGATAATCAAAAAAACTCACAATGGGAGGCCCTGAATCTAGAGGTAAATTCAACATAGGCAGGGGACACTCAGTACAAAAACAAAAGCAATAGTTAAAGAAGTAAAGGAACTAACAGCCCACCAGAGTGGCATGAAGATTACTTTAAACTAAAAGTGTGTGAACAAACAGCAATTTAAGAAAGAAACACTGTCTGGACATAAGGAGAGTCTTGTGAAAATACAGCTGCCATTTACCCACCCTCACAGGTAGGGTGACCATTAATACCAGGAGGCACAAATTAAGTTGTCATCAATCTCCCTCTTGGAATCTTCCAGCCACAAAGGATATTGCCCATTAGCATCAGGATGATAAAGCCCAATAGAACCTTCCAGAATTTCTTATTGAAACTCTAAAATTGCCCTCTTTTGTGAACCTGATATATAAACACTGAACCCTGGCTTTTCAGTGAAAAACTCACTCCCTGTAGAGTGCTTCTGTGTAAGTGAAATAAACTTTTCTCTTGTTGATCTGTCTGTTGTCAGTTAATTTGCAGGCCACCAATCATAAGGACATAAGTTGGTAGAGGAAAAGTTATCTTCCCAATAGGAACCTAGCTGAAAAAGAGCAGATTGGACTTTTCAGCTAGATGTTTGGAAGCAAAAAAATAATGAGCAAACACTTTTGAGATCAAAGATGGGGCTGGGATAGGAGGAAACTGGATTTAGTTGATTGTTCTCAAACCCCAGTGACATCGACAGGTGCCAGCGCCATCACACTGACTGGGCCAACATGGTTTAAAGCAAGAAGACCAAATAGAGCAAACTACCTAATCTTTTTTCAGAAGTTTTGATTTTTTAATTTAGTTTACATTGCTTGAGGATTAAAATGCACCTCCTTACTGAATCACCCATCTAATGAAAAATAGGGAGAAGGCTTTAAGATTATGTAATTTCTATTGTCACAAGGTAAAATATAAAATTGAAAGATAACAACAATAGAAGGGTTTTATGACAAGAGAAGCACTTTCCTGGAATATAACTTTACAGTCCTGAAAATAATCAACCAGTCCCTTAATAAAGATGTATAATCATAAGGAAATGAATAGATACCAGGGAGCATCTTTTTAAATGCCTAAAGAATAAAAATGCACAGCCTTGCTGAATATCTAAGAGGCAAGGACACTTTCTAAAGTTCAAATTCAATCTAATTCTTTTCTCTCTTTAACATTAAGGGCAGAAATGAATATTAACCATTTTTATTAACTATGACCCTCATTTTTTAAATACTAAAACCTGCTAGTGCAAAATGCTTCCAAATGTGGTGATATTTATTTTTCGATTTATGTACAAAAGTTATGTATGCAGGTATAGTTACAACATGCTTAATAAATTATGGAAACCTATATCATCCTTGCACTGAGTTGTGAACTTACAATCTTAACCATTTAAATTAAGAACTTTGCAGTGTTATCTAATAACCTTGGTAGTAAGCATTAGAATGATCAGTGAAAACTAAATTTTAAAAAAGAGATACTGTTTCCAATAGGAAAGTTCAGCAGCATGAAGAATAAAGAAAGAGGGAGAAAATCATCTGCTGGTCTATGAGAGACAAATGTCTTGCTCAGAATTCTTTTCTAGTTTGTTTTCACCTTCCTGAGATGTTTTGTTTTGTTTTTTTGTTTTTTTGCTGGCCTTCAAGTTTGCCTTCCCCTTAATATCTATTTTTCAGATTCTATTGATCAGAAAACATTTAAAAATATTTCCACCTATTTTTACTATTTTTAATACTTGAACATTTTTAAATAAATAAAAATTTTTAAATAGTCAAAAATATGTTTTAAATATTTCTTGTTTCTGCTTTGTCAGTAATTACAGGGGAAGGATAAAAAGAGTATAAGATTAGGTCATTTTCCTTAAGGGATTTATATAGTAGACCTAGGAATACGAAACTAACAAAACAGGTACCTCCAAGCTGCTCCTCCTAAAGCAGTCATCATTATTACAATAGACATGTGGGGAGGTATGATCAGCGCTGTTGAGAAGGTTGGGATTAAAGAGGATTAGCATTCAGGTACAAAGCTAGGCTGAAGGGTTTCATAAGTAGAAGAGTAAAAGTAGAACAGAAGAGAAGGAAGAAAAAATGGATCCTGATTTAAGATAACTGAATGGTTGGAACAAACCTGGTTGGATGGAGCATCTTAGCCGAGATGGAGCATCTTAATAATCATGCTCAGTTTTGGGGGAAAATACTTTCTGTTCTACTCAACCTCTTGCTACAGCTCCCAATTTTTATTTCCTTATTTATAAAATTTCGTGTGTTAGAGTTTAGTCAAGAACTAATCATGAAAATACTAAATTAAATTATTAGATATTAACTTCCTTGTTAATCATTACAGAAATAAAATAACTGCCTGTGATTTAGGTTTATATTTTAAAAATTTTTATGCATTATTCTTGATTCTGCCACTAATTTGCCATGTGCCTTTATTTATTGACTCTCAATTATTTCACTGATAAAGTGAGAGTATTGAACGACATGGTCCCTAAGGTTCCTCTCTGCCCTAAAATTCTGGAATTCTATTATACATCCTTCTAAATATTAGAGAATCTAGAGTGATTTTCAAAATTCTTGTATGAGATGTCAAATGGTAGCTTTTGAAATAATACTTACATTTTGGCCCACTTATCTAGTTCTTCTTCCAGATATGGTTTAACCGTTTTTGGTTGAAGGCCAAGAGAATTTCCCAAGAAATAGATGGAATTTTCATCCTTGTTTACTAAAGATAAATCAACTGAAAGAGAGAGCATGCAAAAAATGCTTATTCAATTAGTTAACATTCTTCCATTTGACATTGTTAATCCAGTGCAAACAATTAATATAATTAACTCCAAGAAGGCTAATAAATAACTTATAATTCCTCCCAAGGATAATGTCAGGTTTTCTTAAAAATAATATTTTACATTTATATTTTAAAAATGTAGTTTAAATTTATAGAGGCATTTACTGAGCTCTTTTATATTTATTATTATCCATGAGGAAATCTGAATTAGTGACTACTCCCCATTATAAATAGACTAAGGCAATAGAAAAGAGTTAAGAACATAATTTTTACAGGAATATATCAGTCTATCTAGTTTTATTAGAAGGTTAAACAAACTTAGGCAATTACAAACCCTCTGCATTAATTGGTGGTGTAGATACAGAAAATAAAAAACCATTTAAATGATTACTTACATATCTGAGGTAGATATATCGGATTTACACATTTCTCATTTTATGTACTTACACACATATAAAACAAGATTGTTCTCTCTATATATCTTCTTATTCAGATAAATCAGAACTGTAGTGATCTTACAACTTTCCCTTAACTACAACGAATGCAGTTTTGTTAGCAAACCAATCCATGTTTGAAGACTGCGTGTGCTGTGTGTGATCCCCATCAGTGACTCAGGATATAAGGAAGCAATTACCCAGATCTCTGCTCCCATTGTATTGTCTTGTTCTTTCATTACTGATGCATTCGAAAACAGGTAGTGGCCTGCTTTTATCCAGAAAGTCATTTTTAAAGTGTGTTCAGTATGAGAGGAAAGCAGAATTATAAAATAATCATCTTGTCCCGTGCCTGCTGAGAGTATGATTCCCCATTGCCTTTAACTATATCCCTTATACTTGGTTAAGTTATTTGTTTAAAAAGACTCAGAGCACCTCAAATGGCATTCTGTGAGCATTCAATTGCATTGTGGAAAGGGACTAGATAGAGTATTAAAAAAGTGCATGTTGTAAAGATCCCGAAGAGTGAAGAAATAACCCACCACTCTCCACCCTTGTCCTGTTGGATCTGCACGATGTGAAAGACAAGCAGGACTTCCAGCCTTGGGGCCCTAGGCTCTGCTGTGCCAGAAGAATGAAAAATAAGTTTGCCATTAAAATCTGGTGCTCTTGGCAGTGATGGGATTGAGGCATGCTACACCAAAATATGGCACCTTGGCATCCTGAATATGTTAAAACGAAGCAATCTGAGAATCGGCATGTGAAGGAAGGGCTTTCGGATCTTCCTCTAAACAGGCCATATAACCCTCAGGTGAGCCGTCCCTCACTATCCATCCTTATCTCCAAGACACCAAGAGGAGTTTGAACAAATGAACCTTGCTGTATCCCCTATTTTCTACACATAGCTTCTAACTTTTTATGCTGTCACAGCTTCCCATAATTCCCCACTCTTCACCAAACCTAGCATGAAAACGGGTTAAGCGCTGCTTCCTTCACTTCCTTATGAAGTCCCCCCTTAACACAAAATTTGTGTTAGAATATATATATATACACACACACATACATACATATATGTCATAAATGCTTTTCTCTTGTTCATCTGTCTTTTGTTAAGGAGCTTTCACCTAGAACTTAGAAGGGTTGGAGAAAAAGTATCTTTCTTTCCCTACAGCAGCAGAGGATGCTCATGGATAACAGTATATGTGAAACAACTTGATGCAAGGTGCTTTCCATACGACTGAGAGAATGGAGGGGTGGAGACCCTACCAGTGGCTCCAGTGAAGACCCCAGGCACGGCAGGGGGCTTTCTGCGGGGAAGAGTGGGGACTGGATAGGAGATTGATGGGGAGCTGAAGCTGCTGCCAGGAAGCCACCTGCCCTCAAATGGCCATAGAAACTGGGGCAAAGGGAGCAGGGGAGGTCATGACCTTACAGACTTCTTCCTAGGACACCAAGAGGCCTCTAAAAGTTTGTGTGGACCCTAGGAAGAGCGAGGGGAAATTCCAAAATGCAGGAACCAGAGTTTTCCCTCTGATCTGGTAGGTGTCAATTTTGAATCCGTTTTTTAGCAATGAAAAACTGTACCATATTTAGACCTCCAGGTTGATACTGAAAATTATACTCATTGCTCTATGTTTGAATTGGTGTACCATGGCTCAGAGTTCAACTAAGCCTTCAAATAAGTACAGTAATCAGACCATCAGGAGGATATGAATGACTTTTTAATTGCATCAAATAAAAGATCCTTTTTCTGATAGTGATCTCTCATTCCTCTTAAGTCTAATAAACTCCTGGAACTAGTTTATTTTACAGCTGGCTTCTGTAGCATAAATTAGGAATGGGCATTCTTTTTCCTCACACCATTGCCCTTCAAACAAATTTCAATTAAGACCCGCTCATCCGCCTGTGTAATATCTCCTGCAGGTCCCACACCTGTAGGTATTAGATTCATTTCTCTCATCTCTCTCTCTCTCTCTCTCTCTCTCTCTCTCTCACTGTACTGCCAGACTGCCAGAATGGCTTGTTTCCTTAGAGAAAAGAGACAACAACGAATGACATTAGCAGTGTGAGGGGGACAGCTGGGACCTGAGGATAAGAACCTGTCCGCTTCATACATACCTACTGCACAGGCATGCCTCCCCCATGCCCTCCCCCACACCCCTGCCAGTAGCTAACTGTAAGAAACAACAGCTCTGATAACTTTGGAGGAGCAAGTGCTGTGGGGAGGAGACATGGAGCTCAAGAGACAGCAGTAAAGGGCCCCATGAGGGTGTTGAGGGCCTGCAGGCAGCTGCTGTCATAGAATACATCCAGCAGGGAGATGTTTATAATTATTTGGATCTAAGTTGTTCTCCTTTCTCCCCTGGTTTCCCTTTTACTCCTTACTGTTCATTGCAACCCAGCAACTCTTTCCATTTTCCATACAAGGAGGGATGGGGTATCTCCAAACTGCATTTGAAGATTCAGAAGCTGATCATGGGATTCTTCACGTGTTCCTTGAGTGTCTGGGGGTTGTTCTGCATTTGTGCCAACAGGAGCCCCTTAGTTAGGACACCCTTTATGTGGTGAACCTCAGGTTCAGCCATGATTCATTGCTTCCATCCTCAAGATTGCCCTGTCAATTTTTATTCTCACATCCATCACTGCTAATAATCACCTGTGGCTTCTTTGTAGCTAGAATCCAAGTCTACTGTCTTCTGGAAAACATCCATAAGAATGAGTGGGTGCTAGATGTGAAGATACTTCCCAGACTTACAGTGCCAGTGGCTTGGCCATTATGTAATCTGACATCTTGTGGGTTCTGTGGGATGGCTTGTTTAATATTTCATGTTTATAGTCTGGGGAGTGCCTCCCTCTGAAATCATTCACTGTATTTGTTCTTTCTTTCAAAGTCAAGTCAGAATTGACATAAACCTGTCATTCTTGTTTTTCAAGATATTTTCTGTCTACCTGACCTTTAGCATATTGAGGATTTGGCATTGTGCCAAAATACGTATTTCAGAAATGACAGCACTCTTATTTCTTTTCTTTCAAGTAGGAGTTGCCAATTTGGGCATAAGCTTTTGTAGTTTCTCAATAGTTCTCTTGGCTTTCTTCCTTGAGTCCTTGGCCTTTTCACAAAGGGCATGGAGCTTACTGTCATCTCTCCTTTTTCAAAATATATTTCTGCTTGATTAACATACCATTTTGGTCCCAAATCTTGGCTAAGTCATAATGCCTCAAGATTATGACCAACTCTTCTCTTTCCAACTCTTCTTGTTTTAGTGCTTTTCCTTCTTTTTTCTGAGGAAGGTCTTCCTCCATTGGATCTGGTTCCATCTCATTCTTGGGATGAAGAATTAAATGAAGTGCCTCATTTCTTCCTCTTAACCCACACCATCCAGGTCTACTCAGAGAAAACACTGAAAGGTGTCACGAACTGGGCAGCCTATGATTTTGTGTCCAGAGCAGACCATTTGCTTATTTTCTCTATCAGTCTGCTGTAGGCAGGATCTCTAAGCAGTGATCTTATTCTAGGCAGGGCAAGGCAAGCTTTCTCTGAAAAGAGCAAGAGTATATATTTTAGGCTTTGTGGGCCAGGCAGTGTCTGTTGCAATGACCCATTTCTGTCTTTGCAGCATAAAAACAGCTAAAGTGCAGTACATAAATAAATAGATGAGGCTGTGTTCTCATAAAATTCTATGACAAAAAATGTTTGCTGACCTTAGCCCTAGGGTCACTCTCCAATTTCTGGCACAAACTGGGCATGCCGAAAGAGTTCATGAATTTTCTATCAGTTGAGTTTCTATCTTCTGTCAATACTCCTTGAGCTGGAAAAACTTGCTTCCTGTAATAAATCCTTTGTATTAGTTTGCTAGGGCTTCTGTAACAAATTGGGTGCTTAAACAATAGAAATTTATTATCTCGCAGTTCTGGAAGTCGAGGTGTTGGCATGGTTTGTTTCTTCCAAGGTTCTGTGAGGGAAGGATCTGGGCTACGTTTCTCTGCTTGAATTATAGGTGGCCATCTTCACCTTCACAGGTGTTCTCTCTGCAGGCCACCCTGTGTGTGTCCATATCTGCCTCCCAATTTCAATTTTATAAGTCATACTGAGTTAGGGCCCACCTAATAACCCCATTTTAACATGATTGCTTCTGTAAAGACTCCATTTCCAAGTAAGGATACATTCTGTGGTACTAGGGGTTAGGATTTCAACATATACATTTTCAGGGAACACAATTCAACACATAACACCCTCCTCAAAGATACACTTGACTTCAAATGGTCTCAGAACTGAAGAGTTTCAGCTTTTAAATAGGCCTAACCTCAATGAGGCCTTAAGTCAAAGGTTTTAAGACCATTTTGTCTGGAAGTCTCATTCCTTAATAGTTTGCAGTATGATTGCTCTAGAGCTCATGATTCTAGACAGTCATGTGATTGCCTTTTAGTAACACTTTAATAGGCCCAAAATGTCCTTCATAGTGGACTTAATTTGCCTATTCTTTTAGTTTAGTCATACATTCCAAGTCTAACCTGGGA